ACGAACAATTCATGCTAAATTTTTCGATAAAATTCTATATTATATGCCGTAAATTTGTAATATTATTATATATGCCGTACATATAATACAAAAGACATTTGAAAAACTATTAAAATGCACATACATAAAAATAACGATAAATAAAATTATAGAGTTAATCGAATAAATATATGTAGATAATAGCATGAAAAAATTCTTTAAATCAAGATTCGCTATTAATTCTGTGATTTACAAATATCCTAATATTTTGCACATCAGTAACTGTAATTTCATTCATATAGCTTGTTTTATTGCTCTTTATTTTATTAATATAATACTTATCGAGATAGCGTTAACGTACGGAAAATTTTTTCACAAGCTAATAAGTAATATAAATTCAGGGTATTTAAAAAAAACCATTCAGAAATCATTCAGCATTTATATTGTAGATTAATACACACACACACACATCATAGTGAGTAAAAAAAACCTTAATAAACATAGGTCAAAAGCTTAACTGTTTCTGAGATATAAACAATTTTGTATGTTAATATCATAACTGACTTACTATCTCTTCTATATGTTGTATCCGACATAAAAAGAGAGAAATTGAGATAAGTAGCACTGATAGCCTATTTGGGAGAATTACAGGTCCAATGAGGTAATCTCTTATAATGTCCAATCAATCGGTAATGGTTGATATCAATTTACTGATAAATTTCGTGAAATGTTTAATTATAAAGTGTGTATGAAAATTGAATCAGAACATTCAGGACGCGATTTGTAAACCATTGAGGTTATAATAAATCTTCACGTCACATGCGATACGTAGAAGCCAATAGTTAATTATGATATTACATACAAAATTGTTTATATCTTAAAAACGATTTAGTTTTCAATCTATATATTTGTAAAGCTTTTTTTTTACTAATAACTGTACTGTCTATCACATAAATGATTTTTTTAACATCCTGTATATATATAAAGTGTAAAATTGGTAATTATTGGAATTTTTATTTCAAGTATTGATATGGAATATTATAATATGGAATTTTTATTACATATATTGCATATTTATTACATATATTACATATAATCCGAGTAGTAGGTACTAACAGGATTGTAGTCAAAAGTGGAAATAGGTATTTATCTTTTTCATGTATTTTAGAGGGAGGAAGTATCATCCTAGATTTGCAAAGTTAACACGCCATTTTTTATTTTGTTTTATATTATAAAAAATGCGGAATTTTTTTATTTTTATAAGGAATTGTAGAACTATATGAAAAGAGAAAGTCTCTCTCTTTATAAGAAAATTGTCATTATTTTTTTATCCCATTTTTGAATATCCGCATAAAATATTATACTTAACCAAATTCTTTGATTAACATACTAGCAATAAACTTGTAAAGCATAATTTTCTGTATTGTTAACAAAAATTAATAGGATTATTAATTTATTAACAACAATATAATTATTAATTGTTGTTTAATAAATAATAAAAAAATTAATTAATTAAAGGTAATAAATTAAATAGTTACAAATTTACTGTAATAGTAGAATTAATCAACAATTAAGTTAAATCGGAATTTCGTCGAAATCTGTCTTAAAAAAAAACAACTAATGCCCATTTAACTTTAATCTTGGTTTAACTTACTTTGTTTCTAATATTAAGAATTAGAAAAGGATAAAGAGAAGAGTAAGTTAAATTAAAAAGATTAAAATTAATCTACATTGGTAAAAAATGGACATACTACAATTAATAATTATGGAACAAGATAAACATACCGTCCGTTGTCTGCGTCCACTGCACTTTTGATACATTTCGTCAAGAGAAACATGGAGTGATCTCGATTGACTCCGAATACTCAAATTCACGAGAAGACACATACAAATTCACTAGTACCGATATAATCGACGCACAATTTTATTGTTTTTACTACAAACACTTTGTGAAATGCTTCTAATTCTTTCTAATTTTTCCGGACCATTTTTAGAAAATAACAACCGCAAAGAAAAATTTTTACGAGCAATTTGAATGTGATCAATTTACGATTCGCGACCGCGACACATTTCACGACTGATGTTTATTTCTATAACCAATATAGATTAACTTTAATCTCGATTTAATTTACTTTTCATCTTTTTCCAGTTTTAAGAATTGGGAGAAGATAACAATTAAGTTAAGAAAGAGATTAAGGTTATCTACAGGTATAGAAATGGATATAAGTATGCCCGTTACTACCAATGTAGATTAACTTTAATCTTGGTTCAGCTTACTTTTAATCTTTTTCCAGTTCTAAAAATTAGAAAAAGATAAAGAATAAATTAAACCGAAATTAAAATTAATTTACGTTAGTAAAAACCTCCTTCATCAATTTCGATTAACACTAATCCGAAGTTGATTCAATCATCACAATTGTCAACATAAAAATTAAACACTACAGTTTATTTCAGAGAAAGAGACAAATTCTGTTATATTCAACTCCTATATATATATATTAACACTTCTGTGAGTATGAGATTAGTGAAAGAGGTAATTATACAGAATAGGTCGCGTAGTTTCAAAATTAATAAAATTAGACTTATTCGACGCGTTTTTGCATGAAACGAAAGAATTTGACAGAAATAAGTGTCGCTGTGCTCGGCAAACCGAGATATTAAACATTATGCTGATTTTACAACGAGTCTGTTCGTCGGTAGTTGGTACTTCTAAGTCTTATCAGTGAAGTTGACCAATAGCCAACTTAACAATCGACGTTGATTGGCCAACTTCATCGATTGAGGCTAATGCCCGTATTTATAGTCGGATCTTGTACTTATAAAGCTTCTTTAAATTTATCTTTAGATGCTCAACAGCCAATAAAATAATTCGTAGAGCACCTAAAGATAAATTTAAAAAAGCCTTAAATATAAGGCCTGACTATGAATACGGGCATAAGACTTCCGACTATAGACTCATTGTAAAATCAGCATTAAAGTTGACTAGTGAAGTTGACTATTGAAGTTAGAAAATCTGTCACGAAATAACTGCGATGCAAGCATGTGTTGCAAGCATCACAAATTCGCTACTTTATAAACAAATTCATTACTTTAAAAAGAATTTACTACTTTAAAAACACAAATTATTTTCTTATATTATTTTTGTGTTTTAAAAGCAGTAAATTTAGTTTTAAAATAGTGAATTTGTTTTAGAGTAGAGAATTTGTTTTAAAGTCATGAATTTGTGTTTTAGAGCAGATAATTAATTTAAAGTAATGAATTTATATTTTAGAACAGAGAATCTGTTTTAAAGTACTGAATTTGTATTTTAGAGTAGAGAATTTGTTTTAAAGTTGTGAATTTGTATTTTAGAACAGAGAACTTGTTAAAGTAGAGAATTTATGACCGTAGAGCTGCGATCAGAATCGTTGTCCAGATGCATCCAGATGTCGTTTTATCTTTGTTGTTTACGAATTTAAACAAGAATAAAAGAACATCTGGGTACACCCAGATGATAATTCTGAATGCAGCCCAGCACATGCTTGCATGGCTGCGTTCAGGAATTATGCTTAGATAACTCTAGAATGCATTTTTTGCTATAATATACGTTACATAACCTATAACTTAGAGTTATCTGGGCGTAATTCCTGAACGCAGCCATCGCAGTATTTCGTAGCGAATAGACTTCCTAACCTCAATAGTAGTCAACTTTAACTTAATATCTCGGTTCGCGAGACAGAGCGATGCTCATTTCTGCCAAATTCTTTCGTTTCATGCAAAAACGCGTCGAATAAGCCTATTGATTTTTAAGCTGCGCGACCTATTCTGTATAATTATCATGAAAGAAGCCCTGATTTTGACCGATCTTCAATTAATTTAATCAACGATTACGTTAATCGGCAAGTTCTACTTGTATACCTCATTGTTCCTAATCTCTTCTTTTTATTTCTATATATCGAAAGATTAATAATTAATCATATTAAACGTTAACAAAATAATTCGAATACCACGTAATGGTTTAATCGTCGCTGACAAAGTATAAGTACATATAGTATGGACACTAAACTTTTTGTGGTCTCTAATTTTTAGTGCGCATGCGTCGGTTTTCAACCAGGAATATGGCTGCCTTCAATAAGTTAAAATTGCAGGTTAGGTTAGATTAGGTTAGCTGGATCTCCTTCCCATAAAATATAATTAATCAAATTAAGTTTTACTAAAAAATTAAATCAAATTTTTTTAGAAACACTATATTGTGTAGACTGTTATATTTGTATACGATTAAGTATTTTTATAATAAAGTATGCATTTGTGTACGTACATTATTAAATTACAACTTTATATTTAATTACAATTTTCATGCAATATATTATTTTTTCATAATTATTCAAATACAATTTTCATATAATATTTAATCAATCATTATTTTTAATTTACTTATTACTGTTTAATATTATTATTATTATCCATGTGAATATTATCTTTATATAATGAATTCGTTAATATTATATTATTATATAATTCTGATTTAAAAATATACTCGCTATAAATAATTTTTATAACACGACCGAATTACGTCTTTTTTTTTTTTTAAATCGTTCTGTAGCTTTATTAAAACTCAAATTTATAAGCACTTTTCCAATCCACAACATGACGACGAGTCATGTGACCTGGGACTCACTGCATCAAAGATGCCGACGCTCAGTTTCTATACTGTATGTATTTATACTGTGCCGCTGAAATCCACTGAAATCTGCCGGTCAAAAGTTGTACCAACTGTTTGTGATGCAAATAGACTATTCATGATAATCATAATGCCAATATTGCCAACTGCGATCTTGAAATATCAAAGAGTTTAATATCACATGTGATGTGATACTATCGCAATTGCTTCATTCTTGTCGCAGTGATGCCATCTGAAAATCTGAAATATGTCCACGTGTCATGAACCTAACCTCATAAAACTTGTCAAATCAAAATAAATTTAATAATTCAAAAACAAATACGGAATTTTTATTTGTATATTTTTCGGATTTCTAGATTTTTATATGTTATTGATACAACAATTTTACACAAGAAATTAATATTTTTTATAGATAAGAGATTACCGATATACATCAAGGAATACAGAAAGAATGACTGAACAGGAAGAACTTGTCTGCGTGCCCGGTAACTATTTATCTATTTTTTGCGATCGATTTGCTTCGCAAATATTAAATTAATTTTGCAATATTTTTTCAAGGCCAAAGGTTATGTGTAGCAGATAAGAATAATGTAGCTGGTGCAGGAACATACGAGCAGCAGGGTTACATCTATTCGAAACTCGCTGGCATTGTAAAATTAGTGACAGACGACAAAGTAAAAATCTTCTGTGTTTGTATTTAACTCTTCTGAGCTGACTTCAAACCTAATAATTACACTGAATTTATGAGACTTATTTAATTTATGTTGACTAAAAGATACTAATTAATTTGAAGGAATCAAAATGACAGACTTCGTATAAAAAAAGAATTAGTTCTAAATTTATTTCAATAGCAATTTTAAATTTGCAGATATAATATTGTGGATATTCATAATCCATTCTTATTTTAAGACTGTATTAAGTAATGTCTTAAGATTCTATTAATGCAACCTTCTGATAGATTTATGGATGATATTCATAATCCGTTTTTATTTCAAGACTGTCTTAAGTAATATCTTAACGCTAATACTGCTCTCTGATTGGTTCATGACTTCTTAAGATTGTACTTAAGACAGTTTTGAATATAAGATCTGACTATAAATAACATTTTAAGACTATACTTAGACAGTCTCAAATATAAGAACTGATTATACTGACCGAAGAATATAATTGAATAGGTCTAATAGACACATGTTGGCTCTGGAGGATTAATATATTAGAATAGATATCTATCTTAATTTTTAATTTTCTGATCAACTTATGATACTTAACCAAATAATATAAAAATTCTATTTTTCTAACTATACATATACATAATCACTGAAACTATCAGTTTAGTGATTAATTATAGTTAAAAAAACAATTTTTATTTCAAATTAAGCAATATTAAATTTAAACCATACATTAAGATAATGAAAAATCAAGCCTAAATCTTACATTATTATAGACTCGTACAGTGGAAGTACATGGTATAACGGAACAAAGCATTGTTCCTGCACCAGGAGATATTGTGACGGCCATGGTCACTGTAGTGAATCAAAGATTTTGTAAATGCAGTATCAAGTGTGTAGGTGACATAGTCTTGACGAGACCTTACAGAGGAATATTGAGAAAGGAGGATGTTCGAACAATTGACAAAGACAAACTAGAGATGTACAAGTGCTATCGACCTGGAGATATTATTCTCGCGAGAGTTGTATCCTTTGGCTTTACTCTAAAACTAAACATTTCAAGGATTAAATCTATAATTTTTCTTATACCTCTTAATAGATGCCAATGACAGAAATACACACCTATCAATTGAGCACCGCAGAAAATGAGCTAGGAGTAGTTATAGCTCACAGCGACGAAGGTAAAGAATCAGTATATATTTCCTTTGTTGGCTTATTTTAATTTGTTATCTTACAGGTGTAGTTATGGTACCAATCAGCTGGACACAAATGCAATGTCCAAAATCTTTAAGTAAAGAATTCCGTAAAGTTGCTAAAGTTGTACCAGAACACATTGTGGCAGAACAAATTGAATAATAAATTACGAGTAATCAACTTTTCGACTGTACAATATATTTTAGATATTTAGATAATTATAAATTTTTATGTATAAAAGGTTTATATAAGTGAACATAATTTTTATATATTGCTATTAAATATCAATAATTTGGAGCAACAAGTAAAAACGTTCCCATTTGAATTAAAATCCTTTTATTTGTTTTTTTTTTATTTGATTCACCATACACAGCCTTGGCCATAAAAAGTCTAATTTTATCTGTAAGTATTATATTATCTAATTTACCTATTGCATTACTATTAACATAATTCTGGTGAAATTCTTGTTTTATAATTTTTCAGAACTTTTATGTAAAGCACTGTCACAAATTGATGTAAAACGTTCTATCTACAGCTAACAAACAATAAATTAAAAAACAATTTTATTGAAAAATATTTTTATAACAATTTTAATATTTTATTTAGTCCTCTTTTGGTTTTTATTGACTTTTTTCAAGAAAACTCAATAAATTGAGATTGCTTTATACTTTTCACGGATGAATATATTTAAAATTTTTTTTATATATATATCTTTTCCCCACCTCTTCTGTTGATTGGCATTCCGTGATAGTGGGTGGCAGCACTGTCAGTATTTTAATGTAAATATTTATTGTATCGATGAATGCCTGCTTATAGTGTTTTTGTTCGAACATTTTGCATTACATTGTCATTTGATAAAGTAGTGACACAAATAAGCAAAAATGGCAGAAACATCATTTTTTAAACCGTCAGATACTGAATCACTGAATTACACTCAGGGTAAGCACTCATTGCAATTGAGGTTATGTGTTCGATCTATATACAATGGAAATATACAGATAAAAAAGTTTATTTATAATATTCTATACTGTAATTATTATCTTCGAAACTCATTAGCGCAAACAGTGAATTAATGCCAAATAAATATGACGTTGACAATTTAATGCCAAATAAATATGATGTTGACAATTTAATGCCAAATAAATATGGCAGCCTATGAACTCAATATTATTAAATTGCTTATTAATTTGTAATACTACAGTTAGGATTGCGTTTCAAAACTGAAAATTAAATTTAGTGTGCAGTTTACAGAATTGAATATGATATAAGTTCACATCAAATTATTTAAGCACCGAAGATCCACTTGACTATTCAAGGCTTTCATTTCCTAGTGTGTATTTATATTACGATTTTAAAAGATATGTTGATAAATTCAATACTATTGACTAATTTTATCTATTATTATAATGTTAATATAATGTTTGCATATCCTGGTGACAATTTTTTTTTTAATTCTTTATATAATTTTTCAAAATTGTTTAGAGTTTCTGTACAGTTCAATGTACAGAAAGTTCAATAAGTTTTTAAAAATTTTCAAATTTTTTGTACAAATTAGAACATTTTTCAGAAACATTCTGCTAAAAGTGTTTATCTTTTTTAGAATTTTTCATAAGTATGAATTTTGAAATGATAAGATTTCTAAGATACAACATTCTATAATTTTTGAAGATTTATAAAAATCTGAAAATATTTTTCCAGAAATCTTCATAAATTTAAAGATATGACATATTCTTAAAAATCTTATGATATATTATGAAATTTTTTTTCTTCAAGATATTGACAAATAATTTCATATTAAATGGAATTATTAAGTAAGGTTAATCATGTTTTATACAAAGTAAATGTTAAACGAAATTTGAATGGTTTGTATAGAAATTCGGCAGATGATGCATGGATTTGGTGATAGCAGCGAACCATTGTTCGAATCTGCAAAGATTATAGAGGATGTCGTGCTACAACAAATGAAAATAATTGTCAGAAGAGCTTGTGAAATAGCAGACAGACGAGCTAGTTCAAAAAAAAGTAATGTTATTAATGGAGAAGATCTTCTCTTTTTATTGCGTAAAGATAAGATCAGGCTTCAACGCATTGTGAAATATCTTGGTAAGTTAACAGCAAAATTTTTTAATTATAAGGTCTATTTTTTATTACTGCACTAAAAACTTTCGATTTCGCTTTCGCCAAATTTTAAATATACAGAATGTATCTGAAATAACTCTTACTAATACAGCTCATACAGCACTATTCCTAATAAAAGACTGAATCAGAAAGTCCTCTACTATTTTGTAATTTTTACAATAATTAAGAAAATATTAATTTTGAAAGATTACCGAATAAAATCGATGTATATTACAATTTTAAGATATCTTTTAGTGTTCTTTGAATGAAATATCTTGAAGATGTTTCTTAAAGAACTTTTAAAAGATATCTTAAAGTTGACTTATACGTCGATTTTAGACATTTGCTCATTGAGTGACTAAAGAAAAATATTGCAAAAATTGCAAAATGGTAGAGGACCTTTTGACTCAGTTTTTTATTAAGTATAGCACTGTATGATTAGTGAACGTTATTTCAGATACAACCCTGTATATATCTATTTCATTTTAATTACATTTTAATTACAAGTGTACTTTATAAATATAAATATATATATTTCTTTTAAATACAAGTATACATTAGTTCAGCCATAAGGACAGACTTATGCATATATCATTATTCCTTACTTAGAATCAAATTTTTCGTCTTTCAGAACTCAAAGAATTAGGATGCTCGGTTCAAAAACTTATGACGGCGAACGATGTGCCACAAAATGTCACGGATCCTGAACAACTGGATGGTACCAAGAAAAAAGTACCGTTTCAAAGTTTTCTAGAACAGATTGACAACACAGGTGAACTTCTGGAAAATTCATCCTCGGTAGACGATGTTAAACGACGTAGATGCATTCGTGCGGATATTGCGTCGAAGTCTATGGACGAGGTACATTATATGAAATTCAGCAAGGCACGTCGTGTGTCCTTTGCGAACAAAAATCGTCACAAATTCAGCGATTGGATTTGCGCAGATGGTACTATCTATTCTCGATTAGAATAAAACAATGTATACAACCTACATTTATCATATTTTAAATACTGTATTTATTTAATTATAGGTGACGTTACTGTATCAAAGCAAGCATACACAATCTTATCTTACCTTGCATATGAAACAGTTGCTCAAATTGTTGATCTCGCATTCCTAGTCCGGCAAGATCAGGGTAAAATGCACGGCGATGCCATAGATCGGCAACGACTCAATTATATTAATCCATTTACGTTCAAGCCGCGCTATCATAGCAAGGTACATATTATAATTGTTTTAAAAAAATCAAACTAACATAGAACAACATAATATATGTATATTGTTCTTTATAGAATTTCGTAATGAAACCATTAACTCCTTCGGAGATAACTGAAGCCCTGAGAAGATACTGGTCCCCACAGCTAGATATGACAGGTCCATTTAATAGATGGTCTATGAGAAAACCACACTTGAAACTCCTTTCATGTTAAATGTAAAGATTTGAAAAAGGTAAGAAGCTGAATATAACTTAGTACTGTGCAACGCTAAAATTGACTCGTATTTATTGACATTTTCTTGATCTCTTGTACATGGTTTTATTTTTTTTACTTCTAACTTTACACACGAGACCATATTGTTTTTTTTATCGCTTTCTTTTTATTACATTATAAAAACGAGTAAAATTATCATATGTAATAATAATTATACAGATATTTATGATTCTCCTTAAAATAATTACAATTCTCTGTACATTTTATATTTGGTATGTATATTATAGTCCCTGATTGCTTTTTAAACGATAAAAGACTGTTATTATATTATTACTTGTAATTACTGCCAGAGTGATACATTGTACTTTTCGTAAAATATTCGAATCTTTTCTTTACACAAATTACCCACGCTTTGGCGATACAATGTGATATCTTAAAACCTAATATGATGTACTTATTCTACATCACATACTCGTATATTCTATCTAGTCACTTGCGAGTTTAACACAGTGAATAAAATATTATCTACAAGATCTTTAATTAATATCGTCAGTAATTGCCTATTTGTTTTACGAATTTACACAAATGCTAATTTTATTTCTATATCATGGTGAGAGTAGTGTTGATACTCGTGCTTTCCCTTCTGCACCCCCGGTTATACAAGTTCCAGATTGATTGGCAGTCGACCAGTCGCAGCATAGAGTACCTTTGTGTCCGCCTAGCTCTAAAATCTTTCCTTGCGCGCCAGGTGGCATCTGACGAAATAGGAAAGTCGATTGAATATATAATATTTAAAAAATATAATACCGAATAATATACCAGAGTACAAAAAATATAACAGAATACATTTTTAAATATTATATAATCAGCTGATATTAAGCATGTATGCGTATCAAATATCTTGCACATACCTTGTATATATTTCCTCCAGTTTGTGTGCAGAGTAACATATAATTGCCAGTCTGATCAAAAGTAAATAATTTTCCATGAACGGGGTTCTTCTCGATTTTAATTTTGGTCTCCCACAAGATCTTCCCAAAGTGATTCAAGCTCCTTTGACATAGTTTACCGTCCTCACTTTGCGCACATATATTCGTAAAATCATTAATTAATTCTATGTCAATTATTGGGCTAGAGTGGCAGTTGAGATTATCTATTATCTCGTTTCGCCTCAGATCATGTATGAGTATATTGCCATTGGACAATCCCGTGATAAGTAATTGGCCATTATGATTAAAAGCGGAACATAAAGCAGTGACGTTCTGCTCCAGCGGCAATGTTCTTTCGAGCTTCTTCGTTTTTATGTCGTACAACAACAATTTACCCTCATTGCCATCCGATACGGAGCAAACAAAAGTAGATTCCGTCGGATTGCAGATTAAAGTAACGATCCGCGAATTCTCGTGTTGGATATCCCAGAGCGTTTTACAGTCTCGCGTGTCATGCAATTGGATTAAACCATTATTGTCGCCATGCAGGAAATAACGTTCATTTTTCGATATCCAGTCCAACGAGGTAATTGCTTTGTTAGAATTTGCCGTAGAGGAAGAGAACGTAGTAACAGTCCTAATACAAATAGATAATAATATAGATAGTAAGAATTACATATTAATGTTACATTGATAGACAAAGTCATATGTATAAACAAATTTCTTACTTTGGTGAAGGAATCGGCGTCCATACTTTAATGACACCATCGGCGTCGCCCGTTGCGACGTACGATCCACTCGCATTACTTTTGCATTGAATTATAGAGGTTTTGTGTTCTGTGTACTCCTCCTGTAAACGTCATGCATATTGCATAAACATGATTAATGTAATAAATAGTGTATAAATAATAGAAATTTCCCGAGATTAGTAATGTTCTTTAACCTGACTTAAAAGAATATAACTGGAGTCTATTTTTTCCTTAGTTTTTCTTTCGATAGCAGTGTCTATAGAAGAGTCTCTTTTCCTAGAACTATTTAATCTTGAATCACAGCTGATGCTCCTCTTAGCGACTGCCTCGGACTTACTGATCGAATTCACTCGTCCTTTCGTATTCGTCCGTTTAGTCGAGACCATCTCAGATTCCGTATTTTTTTTTACGTTTGTTGCAGGCTTTCTACTTAGGATTGGACTGGATCCACCGCCAATATTTCTTATGAGATTCCTCAATGTCTTTGGATTTTCCAGTAACGGCGACTCTCTATTATTTATAAATATCATTAATTATATTATAGAACCTTTTTTATGAAATACAACAAACATACTGAGCAATAATGTAAAAATCATCCATAAGGGGAGATTGTTGAGGTGCCGGACCCGGATTTACATCCCATACACTTTCTATTTTAACAGAATCACTCAACCGTTGCCTCAATGTTTCATTCTCCTCTTGTAATCGTTTAAATTTATTTGTGTCTTCATCAATTGTGAGTAATGTTGGCTGGGGCATACACTAAGATAACAATATATTAAATTTTTCATCATTCGTATCGTATTTTGTTTCATATAGCATATCTTTTATTTTATTTTATTACAACACGAAAGTCTGTACCTGAACTGGTACACTTTTGGAACTTAAAGTGAAATAGATATATATTTAGTATTTGGAAAAAGAAAGAAAGTCCTAGTGCAGTCTAGTGCACAAATAAAAAACAAACCTATTATGTACAATAGTTAAATGCGTTAAAAATTTCTTATAAGCATATTCAATTGGATAATGCACTTCTTCTGTTTACTATTATTTAAATCTGTTCTTGACTTATGTGAAGAAACTAATTTTATCTTTGTAATGGTGATGGAAGTGCTTTTTTTACTTACTTGAAAGATTGTTGCTAAAAAATTATGTAAGGATACCAACATAGTATCGTGCCACTGCTTACTAAAATGGACCGAGTAAATTGGATTGTCTTCAGGATTTTTGATAAAGGGGAAAGCTGCAATATTACAAAGCATACAAGTTAATCTTCTAAGACTGAAGTATTATAAATCCATAAATGAATATGAGAGACATACCAAACCATTCCTTCCATTCTGAATGACCCTGTAGCTCTGGTGTCATTTTGGTAAAAAATTCCTGTATTTTATCTTGCTTGCCATTCACAGCTGCGTTCACCAAGTACATCTTTAGTACAGAATTCTCCAACTTTCTAATTGCAGGCGTAAAATGGCTTTCCAAACGGCAAAACATTCTAGTATCAAAATGTCCCCATAATTCTCTCAGCGACGTCAGATCATAAGTATATATGTATTGCATTAATTGATCGATTATTTTATCTACCTGCTCAATCAAACATTGTCGAATATTAAGCTATCTTCCTGGTATCGATATACAATTTTTTTATTAATACTATCTGTAGTTTATACACAAATATATTCAGTACATATGTAACACTTTGAATAAAGAACATGATAAATATATAACAGCAGAATAAAACAAATAGATAAAAATAAACAGTCGCACACTTATTCCGAACGCATTTATCTTGTTCTTATTATAAGGCATACTCTTATTTGATTGGATGCTTTGTTATTTTGCAGTAATCATTCTCACCCTAAATCCCTTTTCCTTTTCTGCTTTCAGATCATTATCAAAGGCCTTTAAGGTTTGACTAAAACCTCTGAAGAGCAAGTACTCCTTTACCAATTCATCCACATATTGCACGTGAGACATTTTCCCTCCAATTTCTTTGAAATGTTATTTGTTCGATACAGCTTGACAGCTGTATACTGTCATCCTTCAGCCATCTTGGTTCCCCACACACTGAATTACTACACCATACTACACTGAACTAGGCGCACAAGAAATATGAAACATTTCGCTTGGATGTAGGATTACCAACAGAAAGTCTTACAATAGAAAGGTATGTGAGAGTTTATATCGATCAATTTCTCGAGCCATCGAACAATCGAAAGCATCTATTTAAAAAGAAATTATGTTTACAGAAATTAATTATTGTAAAAAAAGTATAAAAACATTTTAATATTATTTCATATTAAAAATTAAAACATTTTAATTAAAACTAGAAAGGAATAAAATTAATTATTTTTAAAATACGTAAAGTATTTTGTCGATAAAAAAAGAAGTTTGATTAAAAAGCAAGAATGAAATGTCATGAAAATATAAGATGCATTTGGAGAAAAATGAACGATTTTATGAAAAAAAAAAATATATA